TCATCTAATATTTTGAGACAAATCTGCCTTTCTGGGACCTAGAAAGGCACCTATGTAGCTGTCTATATAGGAGTATATTTAGGCAATTTAAATATATACTCAGCAGTTGTTTCATTGGTAACATTTTGTTAGTACTAGGTTGGGCACCCTTTTGCCTTCATTTTTTTTGTGGCATAGAATTAACAAAGTCCTAGAAACCTCAAGGATTCTGGTCTGTATTGACTGGTTCCAACCCCTGTGCCACATTCAAAGTCACTTAATTACCTTTTTCAATATTCTGATGCTTTGTTTAAACTTCAGTAAGTTGTCTTGACCATACTTATATGTCTTAATGCATTGGATTGCTGCCATGGGATTGGCTGATTAGATATTTACATTAATGAACAGTTAAAGAAATTGTCGATCAGTAGGCCCACAAACCCGTATACAGAAAGTTTATTTTGGTTCTGTGATAAAAGAAAGAGGTCCTAATGTCCTATGAGTTTCACACAGTAGATAATGCAGTTCTGGAGCTGATGTGGGTGAGAGGATTTGCCTAGTACTAACTACCTCAAACTTATCCAGCTAATGCTGTCTTCCCTGCTAACCCTGATGAGAAGAAACGTGAGTAGGCTTGAAGGTCAAATCCTATTAGTTGCACCTGTTAACAGTAGCTCCTCTGTTGATTAATTGTTGCACTTGTTATTTTTGGTATGTTTCAGTAGCCCGGGCAGCAGGCCAGGCTCCAAGGAAAGATTATTTTATTATGGGTAGGGTAACCTGTCAGAGCATTTTGCACAAATAAAGAATAATACTTGGATTTCTGTAATCCGGTCATAGATTACATATTGTTATAATTACACAAAATGTGTTCTTGTGTGTGTGTCATTTCTTTCCAACACTGTTAAACGCTCATATACTTCATATTTAGCCACCCTGATGTTTCTGATTGCAATTTTAGTTCAATTATTGTCATCACTGTGCCTGTTTTTGCCAGCTATAAATGTGTAGGACGTGTGTGCTACATATGTGTTCTAGGGAACGTGAACACTAGCATGAACAGATAATTCTTGCTAGCTTGGAAGTTGTGGTGGGTTGAGCTAACCCTCTTCCCCACTGTTTGTATTTGGTCGTAGGAGCTGGAGCGGACAAATTATTTACTTGGAGGCCTTTCTTTCTTTTACCTTTCTTTGTCAGGATCAGACACAACGCAGAAACACATCAGTTACATTTCTGCTTTTTCACAAAATGTCAAAAAGTGAATGTCCACAATTTAGCCATAATTGCAGGAAAATGTATTCAAGCAAGATCAAATAGTGAAAATCAAAAACACAATGATCAAATAGAAATATATTTATTTAACTAACCCACTCTGAGCTACTGTTCTTATCTTTGGCAAAGAAAGGTCGGTGAAAGGATGAGCACAACCAGGCCTGAAGATGCACTTATTTTCTCTGCTGATGATGTTCACCAAGCAGCCTGATGGTGCAGGAGACGTTTCTCTCTTTCTGACGGACTGAGGCCTCTCTGACAGGAAATCTAGTATCCAGTTGCAGAGAGAGGTCCTCAGTCCCAGCAAGTTGGGACTTAGGACCTCTTTGTTTTATTATTATTTATTTATTTATTATTATTATTATTTGGGGGATAATGGTGTTGAATGCTGAGCTAAAGTCTATAAAGAGCATTCTAAGAGAGGCGTCTTTCTTATCCAGGTGGGAAAGGGACAGGTGAGGATGAGGATCCTCACTGCAGTCAAAGACAAATGTCCTCTGACTTATGATGGACAGATCATTTGGAATGGATGCAAGCCCACCACTACAACTCCTTCTCTTGCCAAATATCCGTTAATAAATTCCAGTCATCCACTGTGTGATTAGACACAGCTGATGTTGATCAGTCATTCCACAACCACAGCTCATCCTAATGGCATCACACTACTTCAGAATTGTTTACTTTAAAATTTGCCACTTTTTTCTCTGAAATTTACAACTTTAATTTTCTGATTTGTTTTCTTAATTTTTTT